GCTGAAAACACGTGCGGTATTATGGCCACGTGACCAGTTGCACGTGAAAAACCACTTTTGCCACTATAGTGCTGTGCACATGATTTTGATCGATTCACCTGCACAAAAACGGGTTTTATCTGAAGACAATACGTGGCCATTACTGTTTAAATACACAATAAGGGCCCACAATGATAACTGGTCAAAATGTTAAAAATTTAGGATTGTGAAGTTTTTAATTTGGTTCAGTATATTGCCCTTCCAGGTGGGGATACATAGTATTTTATCAAGATCACGTGAACCAATCAGATCTCATCATTCTGACATCGAGGTATAATAATTTCTTTTGCCCGGCAGTTTGGTTCATCCTATTTTTAAGACACATTGAAAATGCAACGTGTTTGTAAACGAATTTTAGTCACCAATCGCGCTACAATTGCATATCCTAGACCATGCATTCCCGTTTTCACAATATCACCTTCCACACTGAAGTAATAAGGTTTCCTTACACGGCCTTCAATTTCCTCATATTGTAGAACCTCTTACACCCCTGACTTGGACAATCGTTTTATGGTGAATGAATCATATTATGGTGTTGGCGACTAAAGGGATCGGGTGGTCAGGCTCGTTGAGTTGGCTGATGCATGTCATCGTATCCTAATTGCGTAGATCGATGCTCATCATGTCAATCACTGGACTATATGGTTCAGACTCGATTATTACACACCGCCGCCATACAACTCCAACATTGCGACGTTTAACAAAAAAATGTGTTGTTTACATGATACCAAATAATATTGAAAAGCACATAGATGTGATGTGTAATGTTACGGTATACCAAATACGCTGTCGGTATGAATATTCAGTTTCGACAAAACTGCATTTCAGGAGAAATGCCCTACTTCACGGAAACAATTGGCCTATTGTTCAGCGGGAATATTTTTCTGGCATTTAAACAACCTGATACTGTCAGATGACTGTTGACATGTTACCAGGCACGGACTAGGCTCACTAACTTACTCCGTGAATTAAGAATAGAAAATTCACTTGCAAATATACTCATTTGTATAGTGACATTAAGAACCTGAGTATAATTTTCTAGGGATATTATTGTGTTTCTAGTTTGGACTCAACGATCAGCCAAAATGTAGGCAGGCGTCAAATTACGACTCTTTTTTTCTCATCACATAGTTTTCGGACTTATATTTGAAAATCGTAAGGTTCCTGGTCGAAATAAACATTACACATATAACAGGTACCGCTAATCTTTATTCAGTAACATAAAACCTGTGGGTCGAGGATGTACCAAAGTAGCTTTTTTATATGATAAACATACTACCACTCACACTGAAAAGGGTCAATAGACTGTTGGACACGTTCGTGACCTCCGATATTGTTTTGTGTAACGTGAGGTTCAAGAAGTGTGTGAATCATGTCTTGATGTCTTGGAAGACCCCACCAAACTGAAAACTGCATGGGTTATCAAGATACCTGCGTCTAAACCTTTGATCAAGAGTAAAAACTTCAGAACAGTGGCGTCTGTCCACCAAAGTACAAGTGGCTTCAGCTTTCCTTGGACAGCAAGGGGAAAACCGTGATGGACTCTCTGCAACTAGGTCAGACTATCCATGGGATATACAACGCAACAGGACTTCATCAGTTGGGAGAAGCTTAGGTTGAGGAAAACTCCCCTCTACTGTAGACAGTGGCTTTGAATTACTTCCCTGTTCCCTCGCGTTCATCACCAAGCACCCTCCAACTTTTATCTCTTCCCTTAATGACTAGTTGAGTGCTTCCGTGTGGCCTTTTCAGGACCAAGATGAAGACTTCTATATACAAAGCAGGGGGCAACACTGGACGAAGTGTAATGAGTGAGTGAGATGGATTTAACACTTCTTTATGATTAAACCTTGAATGAATGAATGTTCAAACAGTTCTAAGAAACAAGTGAGACCCACTCAATCATACAGAAAAGACATAAACAACAACTGGTCAAACGGTTATCTTGATAAAGGCATATTCCACATCAATCAGGTTAAATTGATGACCTTGCAAAATGATAGAGGGATGGAAGGATGGGGCCCAGATTTGGCTGAGGCAGTATCTCACTTATTTGCATATACCACTACATAATTGTTTGTGATCTGAGTTACCCGCAACACACAAGAACAGATAGTCATGGAGAATAGATGTCTTAAAAGATGTAACCTTCCCAATAAATAAAAAACACAACAACAGGGTGAATATGAAAATATTTTACTTTGATATCATTTCGCAGCACCAGGCAGTCACTATCCAAGCATTCACGATGTCTGGAGTCAGGCTTGGGCAGGATAAATATATTTAACAGGGAAATATTTATACATCATACATTGTAGAAGGTACATGGTCATGACACCAGGTTTAGTTTGAGCTGAACAGCAATATATCAACCACTGAACCATTTCACAAAGTCACAGCAAGTTTTCCTTTAAGACTTTTGTAATTTTGTTGACTACATAAAGTAGTCAACTTTGTGAAATGGCTCTAACTGATATATCAACTAAGTAATCTTAATTTTTATTTTCACTTGTATGGCAACATTGTATCACATTATTACATCATTGATAACAAATATATATAATCTGACACTGAAACAGGTAACTTGGCAAAATTATTTTAGCAACGAAATTTCTGAATTTTTGTACACTAGAGTTGAAATGTATGGCTTAAATGAGGTATAGTATATAGACTAGATTATACATTGATGACCTTAACAATGTTAGTGATTATATTAGTATGTCCTGATATCTTTATCCTACAGACATACAGAGCACCCTGTTCCAATGACAAATGAAAAGTTACCATTTCAATCACTCTGCAAAACAAGAAACATTCTCGGCAATCAAATTCTTACCTCTTTTATCTTTCTTTTTTAAATAAGTAATGGTACATGTACAAAGAAATAATCTTATGCGTCTACACTGCTAAATACATCTTTCTATTTTCACATTACATATTTCTATGCAATCAAGATGATGGTCTTATGACAGGTTATTTGTATACATAAACATATTACACACTTCAATACATTGTATATGTAAGTTTATCAGCTGGAGACCAAGTTCCTTATAATAACTAATTATGGAATAAATGGTTTTCTTGCATAACAGTGAAACATTTGGTTGGTAGCACTACAAAGATCTGGAACAAAATCACCACAGTCATGTTGTTGACCTAAATGCTGGTTCTCAAGGGCGGACATCTATTGAATATAACAACTAGCTTGCATCTTGCTTCCTCACCATGACTTATTTAACATTACAAACAGTCATATCGTCATGTGGGAAAAAAGGTTACCTCATCACTTAACAAAACCAAATAAATGATATATCATTTCATAAAAATTATTGAAATTTTCAATGAGAATAGATCATGTAAAGTGTCTCACCATTTGTTTGGAGGACAAAATGTGTATGGTATCAAACCAATTCATAAAGCCACAGCATCAGAGCCAAATGGCAATCAGTCTTCATCCTTTCACCCTTGGATACACCCAACACTCTTATTGAAGCACACACCACTACCTTGCTTTGTTTGAGAAGCATACAGAACTGCAGGAATGACTGACTGACCCACTGGTCACGGCAAGGTCAAATATACATGACCATCACCTTGTAAAGTCAATCACAGTCGTACAGAATAACTTACGAGATCATGTTAAGGAATGAGAATTCATAAATGATAAATGTACAATGAACTAAGTCTAATATATATACCTTGAACATTTCACACAAACACACAATTTGGATCAAATGATCACTCTCACAGACATATATATATACACAGTGGAAAACTGACACATCTGTCCTTGTAAATATGAGCCTGTTGAGAGTATCCCTGTAATTCAGAACAGTATATATGTGTTTGTGCTCAAGCTACAAGTGGCAGACCCTTACACCCCTATGTACACTATGTTCAACGTTTTGGTATTGCTTCTTGGAATTATGGAACCCTGGTAACCAACAATAAAACATGGAGACAGTGTTAGTATCTGCACCTAGGGACAAGATCTGGATAAAACAGAGATCAGGTACTGACGAGACAAATTGTTAAAAATATTTCATGTATGACTAATGACAATGATACTTGGTTTGAATTGTCTTATCTCCCAAAATATTTTGTGCCCAAAAATGATAAACCCATACTGGATCAAATTGAGAAATTGTTCCACTACATTTTCTTCCCTTATGTCTTGCATTGTAATGTTGGAGCTTCATGATTTCAAGTGTTTCTGTTTCCAATGACATACACTACACAGTGACGGTGAGATCAGCTATGGCATATTTCGCATTACAGAGAAAACTGACATAATACAAGTCATAAATAGTTAAGCTAATTATCTGTATCATAAATGTTAAATTCAAGAGTAAATGCAATCAAACCCTGTTAGTGCCATGAATTAAATATTGATACTTGTCTAATTTGACAAGTCATAACAGGAATCCTACTTTCAAACTCTTACTTTCACCACTGTCAACAACATGTCAATATAAAGGTTGTCATGACAATGTGGTAGAGGTTTTTTTCAATTAAGTGAAATGTGAACATAAATTATTAGGGAGCAGCCATTTGATTTTCAAGGATGGGGACAGGGGGGCAATAATGAGCTCTATTATCGTTTCCAACATACAATGGTGCTCAATTTTACTTTTTTAAATAAATAGAAATTAGGAACTGTATTTTTTTAACAAGTAAGCAAAAAAAGGGCCTGTTGTATTCCCCTACAATGCGAGTCATATATGTAAAAAAAAAAATATATCAGTATTTTCTTTAGAAAACCCCTTGAACATCAAAGGGCTACTCCCTTACACACAAACGTGACACAGCACATGTTTACCTTTCTCTCAAATCCACTAAAAAGGATATGGAAAGAATCGCAATTTATTTCTGTGTGTGTCAGGTGAGAAACACAAAGCACTAACATCAGACACAGTCTGCAGATTCCGTATTTATAGGCCAAGTCTTTTCTTTGATGGAGGTTCTTGCTTGAGTATCATCAATTTATGGATCTAGGTCAAGTGCTTAACCTCAAGAAGTGACCCCTTGTTGTTCATCTCCAAAGTCTGAGATATCGGAGGAGTCGGTGGTGGTTCTGTGTTTCCAGAATGCTACCGTGTTGTCACTAAAATCAGGGAAAGAATCAATGTAGCCAAGCAAAAAAGAACAATACAGCTTGCAAATGAAAGAAAAGAAAAAAACAAGCCAAAAACAACAAATTCAAGAAAGAGAAAATATGTCAAAAAAAACAATGCAGCTTTCTGTGAACAAAGAGAAAGTAAAATTAGGAAAGGGTTAGGTTGGTGTTAGGGTGAGAAGCATGCGATTGAAGGTGTTGTTCAGACTGCAAGCTTTGACATTGAGACATGCAGGTAAGACAAATCGATTGATACATTAAACTTATGATGATGCACAGGATTAGACAGAGGAGATAGAAAACATAATGGAATGTCAATGAGAAAACAAATTATTATACAGTGTGACTTTTGATGAATAAGTGACCTATAGGGTCCTGACACTTTCAAGCAATTCTGTAGCCATAAGAACAATGGTCTTACAAAGACTGCACAAAGACTGTACATAGCTCCAATGAAGAATCAAACCTGGTCATGCACATGGCAAGCAAGAGCATCAACAACAGAGCCACCACAACGAGTATGGGGTTTGAGCCAGCTCAACCAAGTTATCAAATAATTAGTTGATTTTGACAAACAGAACCTAAGCAAACTGTTTCTAAGTAATACAAGAGGTACGGAACATCCCAGGGATATAAAAGTACTGCCATGGACAACTGTGCGAGACAAGCTGAGCATTACCTTGGGTGACACTACCTATAGTTGAATTCAAAATCAAACCAAAAATCACATTGTACATGAATAGCCTGCACAGCTTACAGGCTAACAGGGTGTCACTCTCAGTTTACCATCAAAATGTGCCCTGGGTACATTGATAATCGAGTTGTTCCCAGGAATAGGTTTAAGGCGTACCAATGAATGTTAATAAATAGAATGTTTCAACAAACTGCACAACAATATAGATACAGAACTGTGTTCTATAAACTGATAAACTACTGACTGGCCCTAGTTCTCGATATATCAGTTTGTACCCAGGGTACATTTTGACATTTTGTTTGTTTGTTTGTTGTTAAACGCCACACTCAGCAATATTCCAGCTATATGACTGTAAATAATCGAGCCTGTACCAGACAATCCAGTGATTGACATCATGAGCATCGATCCATGCAATTTGGATCAATCACATGCATCAACCAAGTCAGCAAGCCTGACCACCCGATCCTGTTACATGTTGATGTTAAACCGATCAAGAGTGACAATATCAGCTATAGTATATATCTGCTGTACATTTATCAGTACATCAAGGAATGTCAATCTCTAATACGACAACAACTTTTAGTTGTGCTTCGGTGTCTGAATCAATAAACTAAAACTATAAGTGAACATATAAAGTTCTGATGAATCAAAAGAAGGTCCATGTCAAGCAAATTTTGTGTTGGGCTAATAAGCCCAGCTGATCATAAACCACATGAAAAGGAGGAACATTCAGTGGAGAATATGTGGCTAAAGATGACATAAAGAATTTGACCAACACATATAATTATGTAAAGCTCCTCAAGAAACTGTGTAATATATTGACTGTATACCACCAACACATTAATATATAGTTAATATATAGAACTCACTCGCTTGGCAAAGTATCATTTCATTTAGCAAAATATATATTTCTTGTCAACAAGTCTGTAAAGATCAATCAGTTATTATCAAACTCATATATGTCAAGCTTTCAAAACTGGTTACATTTTTACAATATTCAATTCAACAAGCACACGTTATCAAGCTTGTATCATCCTCAACAATCAGGGTCATATTTCTCAGTTTCCAAGAGATTCTCTGTCGATTAATTGCTACTTTGTCCCATGCCGATGCATCGTATGTAACTTGATAGGATACAGCAAGAGAGGCGGTGAAATGTAGCCTTGATTACTGAGGATGGCATTAGTAAAAGCATCGTAACAATATAACAATTGACATATATAACAAGAGTACAAACAAAGTGTTAATGCATCTCTTGTCATTGAGCAAAGGCAAGTATTAAGTACGTTAGTTGTAGCTTATTGTGAGAATCAGTGTATTTATGTGCCTTTACAACTTCATACTTGATACGTTCAGCAAACTTCCACTGTAACCAGTTACAGTAGCAAAGTTAACTTTGAATACAGACATAAGCCAACAAATAAGATTCATATTTTTTCAAAGCCCTGAGGATGTAGTAATTGTGATGTTTTGGTACGAAAGGCCCAGTTTCACAAAGCAATCTTAGCACAACGACAGTCATAATTCCTATATTGTAACAGACATACAATAGTTGTAGCAATATAATCACTTTGTGGAAAATGGTCCTGGTGACTTTGGTCAAGAGAAACCTGCCTTTGTTTATCATTCTGGGAAATATACCGCTGTTAATAGGTAAAACATATTTGGCACTCATTATGACCAGCAACCAACAAATATTGCAAAATAAATTCATTATTCTCTTTCTAATACATAACAGCTTATGTACAATGAACGGCAATGTTTAGCATACATATAATCTCATCAGTCTCACAACATATTGTGATAGTTTGGTCCTTTAATTCACAACTAATATTTCCCCTTTATTAAATGCAAACAAATAAGGTTGAATATTTTTACAATAACAGCATGATTCAACATGTTGCATGAAGTGTATTGATTGTCAAGTTGACAACTCTACACTCTCTCATAAATTTTATAGTCCACAAAATCTAGGGGAGATAACTGACATGTCAGCAAGATGATCATTTCTGATGAATGATGACGGGTGATGTACAATGAGTAACCATGGTTACAATGGATGATATGAAAGCCCTTGAAGTCACTACAAACTCGACAAAAGGAAGCTACACCTCAACAGAAATACTTACAGTTCAAAAAATAATTTGAAACCGTTCTAGATCTGTTAAGTTTTCTAAGGCGAAAAGCTGTTTGAATACTGGATTCTTGTGCACTGACCCTAATATATTTTGTGTGTGGACAGCCTGCAATTCTTCAAACAGTGAGAAACTGTGCTGCCAAAGAGTCAGACTTTTCACCTACGGTTTTCCTAGCAGGCATGAAAAGCTGTCCTGCTGTGTGTAGCTACAGGCCTGATGTCTCAGTACAAAGAGTACCTAAATCACTGTGGTCTGACCTAGTATCTAATATTCACCCAGCTATGACAATGAGAAGCACATTGGTAGATTCATTTCTTCAAAGCAAAACATCCCAACTTAACAGGACCAAAATAGTCGTCACAGTGACCCACTAAGTGGCTGTGCGTATCTTTTGAATTTGTAAGAACTGTCGATGATTTCATACATAGCTTCCATTTGTCAATGGATTTCTACATTATTCAGTCTATAGTCTTGCCATCAATTTGCTTTGCAACACAGAATTAAAGTGATGTAGCCATAAATGCCAGTAAAGGTTTTGACATTAACTAACAGAACTTCTATCTACTTGCTGGTCGTAAGTTTGACATGTTTTCTGGTGGAATTAGGAGTAATTGAGTGTACGTAATCTCGTCCTCATAATGGACAGCAGAATGCATATAGCCATCCAACAACTGGTGAGAATTGTTGCTGGAGTATGTAATGATGATGACAAATATTGGTCAGTGTTAGTCATGTTAGATGAACCACTCCCGGTTAAAGATTCGCAGACTGTTAGTTCTTCGAAGTTGCCATATTTTCACCACAGGCTCACTGGAATGAACAGAAGATGATAGCTGAAATACAACTTGATCAGAGGGAGCGAGTGGGTGAGTGAGAAAATTTGTCTTAATTAACACCACATGGAACAGTATTTCAGGTATATCACGATGTGTCAGCTTCGTGTGGGAGGCAGATCTTAGGATCTGAGGCAGAACCCATTTGCAGAGAAATGGTGCTGACAAACCAAGGAACATAGTCAGGGTGAATCTTGGACTCAAACCCATGATCAAAGTGTCCAGCAGGCCTAAGGGATGAATTGCAACACCTTAATTGCCATCCATGTACATTTTATTTGAGTGAGCTGTAGGAAAACTACAAAGCAGAAATATAATTTATCATCCAAAACTGGCTCCCACAGGAGATATCGTTTGGATGAGATCAAGCGATATCTACACTGTAGATATCGCTGCAATGAAATTACATCACAATGTTTTGTAAACCATTGTGACGTCACTGGTTACCATGACGTCACAATCAAATGACATCACTTATGGCTCTGCTACTGAAGCTGTTTGCAGTACTTTTTACACTGAAGACACTGCTAATTACGGTCTACAAATTGAAAAAGTTGAAAGAATGATGTTGGATGATAAATAAAATCTCACCCTCGTGTCTTTTGATATCAAATATATCAACACTCGTTGATAAAAGTGTCAAAAATCCTCGGCAAGCCTCAGAATTTTTCCACTTTTATCAACTCGTGTTGATATATTTGATATCAAAAGTCACTCAGGTGAGATTCTCTATGTCTACAATACATAGTGAGTGAGACTAGATAAGGACAGAAACAAGGAACTGTTATGACCAGGAATGCACAATGGGGATCTCCATGCCAGGTGTTACGAATGCAACACGTCTACTGTGGATCAGGAAAAAAAATGCCTAACAGTGTGATCAATTAACTTGTTACCAAATTTGATTTTTTATGAATCACTGGATAATAATGATGAGAAGATGTGTCATGATCAGATCTAACACAGTCTGTAATAATTCTCTCTGTACTCCCAAACAAAGGTAAATACTCACTTGGATGCAGTAAAGATGGAGGTGGAATTGGTAGCAATGGCATTGATGGGGCTGGAATGCGCCTTGATCTCAGCAATCTGAGCACAAGAGTCCATCTGCCAGAGCTTGAGGGTGCCCCCTCTACATGCACTCAACAGGAAGTTGCCTCCTGGCATGAAGTCCAGTGCACACACCCAGTCCTTGTGTGCAGCATTCATTGACTGGAGAGATTCAGGAAGAAGGGAGTACTAACTGAGACATATTGTCAAGGACATTTGATGTGTAATGATGCTGTCTCACAACCAAATGTAGCATGACTCTAACTCTCCTGGGTCCCGATACACAAAGCATGCATAGTTCTGTGATGTTCTTTACTGTTTTGGTTAAAATAGACTTACTATTGCCGTAGAGCTATGAACATTGTGTGGCATGTTGCCCTGGGCACCTTTCAAGAAAGCAATTTTAGCTTCAACAACTGTTGGAAGTCTATGTTAAATCATGGGAATAAAGATAATCTAATCATTATAAGTTCACTTCCTGGAAAGGGCACCTGTATTGTTGGATGATCATTAGTTTCACAATGTTCCTTGGGTGAGACTTAATAAAATCAATGACAGAGACAGTCTTCGACTTCAGCCACTTGTCTGAACCCTGAGTCTAGTAAAATTCTGTTCAGTCTGGTAAGATCAGCTAAATGCCATAAGACAACAGTTAAATCTACTGAAAATGGTTCTAAGAGGGTTTGGGGGTGGCTAGTGGACTCAAAAGGTTTTGTCACACCCTGCAGAGGGCAATGTTATCGTGAAATCGATGTGTAGTCTATCCGACAGAAGACATGTTAACACTCCCACCTGTTTCAGCTGCTGGTCCTTGAGATCCCACTTCTTGATACAAGTGTCCCGGGAGCCACTGAACAGCATGCTGCCATGGAGAGCTAGAGACTGTATTCCATCATAGTGAGGGGGCTCCAAGTTGTACTTGGGGGTGAACACACCTGCAGCCTCGTCCAGCACCTCAAACACCTGGAACAGGTAGCAGTCATGTTTATTACAGGCAACAGTTACATATACTCATTACTTACCACTTTATTTGTGACATTCAACCCTTACATATAACTAGATCATGATGTAAGGTATTGTTTTATGTTCAGATGAATATTTGTCAGAAACTTGTCATTGAGACAATGTTCATGTTTAAGGGAGGCCATTATAGAGTTGCCTCCCTTCACCAGTTTTTCAGTAAAGTGCAAATAACCGAATGTTCCACATGGGAAAAAGATTGTTCTGATATAGAAACTACAACTGAATATTTGCAACTGAAAAATATGAATAATTTTAGCAGATCTTACTAACTGACAAGGCTACAGAATATTGGCTTGTGTATGCAATAAATTGTCCATAAATACATTGAGACTATGCACAAGAGAAACCACTTAATTATAAGAGACTGGTTTGTTTGCTTGTTTGATTGTTTGTTGTTTAACGCCACACTCAGCAATATTCCAGCTATATGACGGCAGACTGTGAATAATCCAGTCTGGACCATACAATCCAGTGATTGACATCATGAGCATCAATCCACATTATTGGGAAACCAAGTCAGCTGACCAAGTAAGCTGACCACCCGATCCCATTGGTCGCCTCTTACGACAAGCATAGTCGCCTTTTACGACAAGCATGGGTTGCTGAAGACCCATTCTACCCCGGATCTTCACAGGTCTTAAGGTACTGGTTCATACTAACATGCAATTTCAGGTCTTCATAAAGTTCTTTCACGGTTCTAACAATAGTTACCAGGTATCAATTACAAACTACTTGGTAAGCAGTAGAAGCAGTAGATGTCTCCTCACCTTAATATAGTGGTCCTTGGATCCTGTGATAACAGTGCTGGAGTCCGTACTTGCATCTACAGCCAGCACCATGACAGCAGCCTGATGGCCACCACTCAGCTTTCCCACTGCACTGTATCTGAAGATTGCAAAATTGACGACATTTCAATGAATAAGTTGCTTTGTGTTTAGCTTGTAAACAGCCAAGGGTTAAAATATAATAGTCTTGGTTCTCAGGTACCACCCGCATCCTCATAAAGTCTGCCCCACGTTTCGATTTTATTTCCAATTTGAAAAAAATAACAATCATTAAGCATTGCATTTAAGACTATTTCACTTACATAGCGATGTGCATGCATGTTTTTTTTTTGTGTGTATGTGTGTGGCCGCTTGTACTAGTCCCAATTTATGCAAATGCAAGATATCATGCTACAGTTTAACATGGATACCACACTCAGAAACATACTGACTCCAAGCTAACCAGTCATTGTTATATTCCCTTAATGCAGAATGCCAGGGTTACAACAAGTACCATCCTTTAATGTCTTTTGGTCTGACGCTCTGACCGACCTTCTACTCTCCAGGCAGACACTCTATCCAATAGACCAACACTCTAAACAATAGAAAATTAACAAACCTCCTGAGATCCCAGACTCGGACTATATTTCCTGTAGCACAGTACAGCGTGACGCCGTCACTACCGAGGGCGATGTCGTTGATGTGATGTTCACCAGGGGCCAGGTCAGTCTGGCGGGACTGGTAGGTCTGATTGGCTGGACCAGTCACACTCAGTCCAGATGACCTGCAAACAGATGCCACTGATTCACTCTAGCTGTAACAATTCACCAAGTCCTGATGTATCAACTGCCATACCTTTAATCACTAAAGGAATATTGTAACATGGGTATTTGTTTTTCTGTGATATATTCCATGCTTGCTTCACAAAATCTGTTGTACAAGACTTTAGGGGCATTTTCAATACGTCGTCTTATGTTTATCACACCTGTGCAGATTCTGGGGTAGAATTAGTGACCAGTCTTTTCCTATGTTTGTCATAAGAAGAGTGAGTGAGTGAGTGAGGTTTTACGCCGCTTTTAGCAATTTTACAGCAATATCACAGCGGGGGACACCAGAAATAGGCTTCACACATTGTACCCATGTCCTGAATCGAAACTGGGTCTTCAGCGTGACGAGTGAACGGTTTAACCACTAGGCTACCCGACTGCCCCGTCACAAGAAGAAACTTGGATCAGGTGGCCAGGCTCTGTCATCTCATCTTGACCCAACAAAGGTTGTTCATGCTTTCAGTCACTGGTTTGTCTGGTCAAGCTCTATTACTTACACACTGTCATGATATATTGGAATACTGCTGACTGCGATGTTAGACAACATTCAATCAGTTTATTGTCCATAGGTGATCATGGATTTTTCATCTAACCACTGTCTCACCCTAGTTTCTTGACTGATTGTAGAGTCTGGTCTCTCCCTAGCATCTTGACACACCCTAGGGTCTTGTCTCAACCTAGAGTTTTCACTCACCCTAGCATCGTAACTCACCCCACAATCTTCTAATGTCTTGCCTCATCCTAGCGTCTTGTCTCACTCGTGTCTCAACTCACCCTACCATTTTGTCTCTTTCTTGACTCAACCTAGTATTTTACCTTACCCTAGCGTTTCAGTGTTTTGTCTCACTCGTGTGACTCATCTTAGCATCTTGTCTCACCCTAGTGTCTTGATGCACTGTGCAGACTTGCTCCGGATGTCCCACACCTTGATGAAGGACTGGGACACGGTGAAGGTGAGCTTGGTAGCCTCACAGTACTTCACCTTCCCCACATTGTTGGGGTGGCCGGTGTATGCCAGGATCTCCTTGCCAGTGGCCAGATCCCACGTCTTGGCAGTACGATCTACAACCACACACAAGCTATAATGCAGTCCAGAAAATAATATGCAACTTACGGTGTGAAATCTAATCTAACATTTTTACACATAAGTGGCAGATACGATATGGTCATCTCATGACTTCATCAGTCTGATAAACAACTGATTAATGCATACCAATGCAGCTGTGAAGCATATTGGTTTGGATGAGGTCACATGGAATGGCCATGTGTGCTGTCTTCCTAGAATTGTCCATGGCAACTTTAATATGTGCCATACGCTTAAATGACAATACACAATGAGATAATGAAGAGAGAGATTATATAGGTACAACAGAAACATTGATTATTCTAGACTCCTAAGTCCAGTGACATTTCAACTGCCTTCTTTAACTGCCTTGAATATACCTGGCAATACCTCCTACTCGCACTAGACGTTCCAATTCCACTTATAATTTACAAGTTTTCAAGAAACCAAAGAACATTTTAAATAATGACAACCTGAATCATGAACTGGGGCCCTTTCCACAAAGCAATGTTACCTCGAAGATGGTTCAGCTCCCCTACTATAACACTGATTTATGACAGTCTTAGCACTAAGATCACCCTGCAGTGGTAGAAACGAACATTATTTGTCCACTAGTCCTTACAATAGCATATAGCAAAACCCAGAAACATGGCAAATTTCTACTAGTCCTTATGATACCTTAACTATTGGTCAGTTTGGCAAGGACTACAATTTCTAATGCTGCCCTGTGAAATGGGGCCCTGATAACAGTCTTAATCTGACAGGCTCTTCAGGTCCGATGACCTAATGTCCACAGCTTCACGAAAGATAGGCTGATTACATTTAGACATAACTGACCTTTACTGCCAGTAAACAAGAGATCATCGGTGGCATGCACTGCAAGGACTGCCTTTGTGTGACCTTCAGCGGTGTGTGTGCAGGTCAAAGGTGATGACCTTCCACTTGAGGGTCGTCCACTGACAGAGACAATGCTTCCTCTGAAGAGAAAGTATACATGAAACTACATTTAACAACCAGTGAGTACATGGCGATGTGAAGTAATCATAGTTTTACCTTCCTTTTTGAAATTTTGATATCATATCCCAAATTGGGGCTTATCATGGCCATGTGAAGTACGTTTATCATAAATTACTCAGACTGCTGGAGAATATAGAAGAGCACCGTCAATACTTCACTGGCCTACACTTCTTTCCTCAGTCATCTGTGAATACATACCACTGCTTTTTAACCAAGAAATCAAGGCAAGAACTGGTTCCAGCAAGAGATTAGAACAACAAGCGCTCATATACATCACACACAGAAATATTTCTCTTGTGCAACATGTGCTATTACATTGCAGATTTCGGCTCTACACATTGTGATACTTGCCATCTCTTCTGGATGGAATCTGGATTGAACAAAATCTTCCCACATACCATCCCAGGTCATAAAGACAGTACAGGATGCCACCCACCTGTTAGGGTTGGGACTAGTACTCTGGGGATTGCTTGTAAGACGAGAGAAGACATTTTCATCACTGTTTCGTCCTGACCGGCGGAGTGCGGGAGGAGACGTGGGTGGGGTGGTGTCTGAGGAAGTATCTCTGAAACAGAAAGACACATGCAGTCACCTGCACCTACTCTGGTCATCTGAAACAAACACTGTAGCAACCCTTAGCAAACTCTGGAGCTTCGCAATGATACACAAGGTCTGTTGAAATGAAAATAAATAGGTATGTCAATCATTTATTTATCTATTTATATGAATGTCATTCTCGATGTAGCTGGCTTCTTGAATCACTGACAGTTCTGTAGATTCCAATTTATATATAAGATGTTACATTGTATAAGCGGGTCTATATTACTAGCAGGAGATATATTAAAAACGATAAATAACAAATGTGTGGAGCTTGCATACTCAGGAGCTTCAAAGGATATTCTGGACCTTTATTAGCATACAGACCTTCATATGCATACTGTGGACCTTTGGTAGCACTATTAGGACCTTCAAAACGATCCTCATCAGGATCCTAATGGGAACATTGGTACAAGTTTGGAAAACTTGGTCCAAGTTTGTGTCTGCCTAGAATGCATGGGCTTCACAAATTGTATCTTTGGAGGGTCTACAAATGCATATTTTACCAACTAAACCTTCATATGTTACTGTAGATGAAAATGTCCTTGTAGAAAAGGATTAAGACCTGGATATTGTTACATATCCAGACACATAATATAAACCATATAAGATCCTCATTTTAGACCTATGACACTAAATGATCAAACATTTCAAAAACAATATATCATCAAATCAATGATCATGAACCAATGAAATGACCTTTGAATTCGGCACAAAAAACTTTGATCCTATCTGTAATGTTCATGTAAGTTATCTATAGAATCAGACCTGTTGAGATCCTCTAGCTTTATTTCCCCCAGCACCCATCAGAACAGATCACCAATATTAACTGGTTAAGTCGGCAGAGATCAAAGAGAGTGCTGACCAGCATGTGACATGATAACACCAACACAGTGACGCACACATACCAACTACCGTAAACAGTTCAATGGAGAACAAAGATTCTACAATTTAGAAGCCTCTCCTGTCCAATTCATAGAATGACATAAAGTAGAAACAACCTGATTACAAATAATGGAAATTTTTCATGCAAACTGAATCTAATGATTGCAATAGAAACCTTTGAGACTCATGTTTTCAATCCATTGCTCAAATGAATAATGAATGGATATATATTGCTATCAAGCCACATCAGCAATTTTACAGCTATTCACAGTGAGAATCAGTTAATATAATTTTAATGTTTGAATTTAAAAATGAACAATCTTGAAAGCTTGCCAATAAATGCATAATCTTTTTAGAAAAATGTGCTAAAATATCTTTTTGCGACTAGCTTTGAATAACAAGATAAAACTGTTAGATTTTGATTTGTTTCTTCCTTGTGTCAAGAGCATGGTTAGGCTTGTTTGTTTGTTTGTTGTTTAACGCCGCACTCAGCAATATTCCAGCTATATGACAGCAGTCTGTAAATAATCGAGTCTTGACCAGACAATCCAGTGATTAATATCATGAGCATCGATCCACGCAATTGGGATAGGATAGCATGCATCAACCAAGTCAGCGAGCCTGACCACCTGGCATGGTTAGGCAATTCCATCAGTAAATTTGGCGTCATTACACTACGAACAGTATTGCAGTTATATAATGACGTATCAGCTTAATTCTGGAGGAATGCCCAAAGGGATGCAGGTCATAGGTGTTTACCACTTTGGTGCAGCCAGTGGACAAGGTGCTTACACACCCTAAAAATATAACCCTGGTGGATCTGTGAACCGAACCCACAATCATAGCTTGGCGGCATGCTCAGGTGATGGAAATTGCGAACAGTGAATTACAGCAACTTGGACATCGGGACAACCAATGCCCCTGGCAAAACAATACAACACTGTGTTCCTCTGTAATTTCATGATCCTATCACTTGGTTCATTTGACCTGTTTGCTTATCAATACTGAATCCAACTTATGCACAGGAGCTTTCCCTTACAGTGGGCCAGCTCTATTCCAAGACATACGGTATTCACATACCAATAATACTCTATACCTCACAATGTTGCAACCCATCAGTGTCAAGCTTTACTTTTTCAACAGCAATTTATATGCTACCTCTTGGCAGATAGTCAATGACGAAGTCTGTGCAGAGATAGACCCGCTTTCATTAAGCAGTGAGTTAATATATCTACTTCAAGGGACGTCAACTCTCATGAAATTGTTACTCTGACTTTCTATTGCCCTGCTGGTAATGGGAAAGAGCAAATCTTGGGTGATCGAGGTGTACAAATGACAGCATGTAAAATTTAATGCAGTATCAGCCTGATTTGACAGACAAGTAACAGCCAATGAATGAAAAGTATTTGTGATACAATTCAAATTTTCATGTATCCTTTGGAAATACTTCTATTTGACAATGTCACGTTGATCTCATTTTCATAAATGCCTAAGATACCACCAATAATTGATAAAACACTGGCACTAAGGACTGCTGTATGATCCTCCGGAAAGGTCACAAGCATTGGGTGATATAGAGTGCAAAGAAGCAGAGGAGGCAATTGAGTGAGTGAGTGAGTGAGTGAGTGAGTGAGTGAGTGAGTGAGTGAGTGAGTGAGTGAGTGAGTGAGTGAGTGAGTGAGTGAGTGAGTGAGTGAGTGAGTGAGTGAGTGAGTGAGTGAGTGCAAGTTGAAAAGGCACCATTAGGTAATCACACAGAGTGTTGTTATACTATTGGGTTTTTAATGTTTTATGCATATTTGTACAGAAGCCATTCAAAATTAATCGGGTAGCGGTGATTTATTTTGTGCATTTTACACAAATTACACAGCTTATCTGCTTCTCTGTGTGTGCATATCAGTTTGTGCTTGAGCAGGCACAGACGTTAGTGAAAAACAGTTCATATAAGTAATTAGTCACAGATCTATAGTGTCAGATATTCATCATTATTACTGCAAGTACTTTTATGGTTACAAAGACTTGTTTTGTGAGCGCTTGACCACTGAAAGTCAGCTGTTAAAGGACACACACTTATATCATACACAAACTAGTGAGTGAGTGAGTGAGTATGGTTTTACGCCGCTTTTAGCAATATTCCAGCAATATCACGGCGGGGGACACCAGAAATGGGCTTCACACATTGTGCCCATGTCAGGAATCGAACCCGGGTCTTCGGCGTGACAAACTAACGCTTTAACCACTAGGTAACCACTAGGCTACCCGACCGCCCCTCATACACAAACTAAGGAACACATCATCACAATATTGACTTTGTCACTTCAATCAGGTAGGACATATCCATGGCAACAACTCACCAACACACGAACCATAAACACACACAAATAGAAATCTATTTAATCTCCAAAGTATTTACAACTCAACCCAGCAACGATAAATGAGCCCACGTTACAGGTCTGTTTTCACTATAGCAGCAAAGATGGACTAATTTCCCCCCAGCACAAGAATAACTTGCACTTAGAGATGTGGAAAAACTTGATCTGTAAATTCCAATAATCCTCCTGTTGAATCAATGAAACAAGTGCGTGGACTAGTGATTAAGTACTGTGATAACAGAAAGCCTTGTTCATCCTGGGGACATGATCTACTGTGGGGCTGAAAGTGAGGATTACATTTCAAAACCAACACCAAGTAGACGTTGATCTTTATCGTAGCTCCATTCTTTTGGTGACTGGTCCCAGCTGACGACACTGGTCAAAACTGAAATTGTTTGTGAGTATTGTATTTCTGATCTTATATCTTTACAATATCATTTACAAAGGAATCATTATTTCAAATTGACTCTTTTGATCTCAAACGGACACAAGCTCTGAAAAGATTGTATATCTCGAAGTTTATGCAAGGCTCTCCACACAACCATTTTAAATCCTGTTCTCTCCATCACAAAAGCACGATCACTTTTCACATTGTTCATCAAGTCTTCAAGATGAGACCAGGCCAACTATTTTCATTTTATGGTCAAGTCTACCCAAACACACCTGAAGGACAGTAAAACCTTGGAATTTGATTGGGAATATGCGTTCTTTAAAAACATGTTTTACATTTTGTACATATTTAAATTAAAACTTGTTCTTCAAATCATTTTTCTTCTTCCCAACTTTACTGGTGAAGCTTCTTGCCATTTTGTTTTTTCTTGTTTGCCTCTTTATCATACACAGCATTAGCAATTTTGAACAAAAACATTTTCTCCCAATCTGCCTACCAAGGCTGCTTGGTTTAGAATCCTCGTTACATCTCCTCTTCCTATTATGAAGAATACGATTTAAAGGGTCAGAAGAAAAGTATGTTGTATTGTTTCGATTTAAGTGATATTCAAACAATCAATCCAATGATACATGTGTATTTTATTGACAAAACCAGACAAGAAATACAACCAATCCATAATAACGGTTGTTTCATATCCTGTCCTTCCTGTAAGAGCATGCCAAAAATCGATGCATGCAAATAATCATTCAATGTCTCCATTCTAACCACACCATCCAAAAGAGTACTCGCCATCAAACCTCATTATAATGCCATCCATTTCATGCAGGACTCCATAATAGCTACATCAACAATGTTCCTTCATGGCTGTAGGCTACATCTATCAACCCTGTAATACTACAGTTGGCAGTAACACCACAATATGATCAAAACCGGATATCACAATGAGGTTGGACTGAAGTGTATTGGAAATCAATCCAATCGCAAGATTATTACATAATCTCTTAAAAAATATGGCAACACAGTCTTTCCAATTGATTTAGGTATTCCGCCTTCCCTAAAAATAAAAATAAAAACCTAAAAGACCAACGACAAACGCTTAAACTAACACTACACACATTGCAAAATATTCAGATATTTTGTTGGACAAAAATAATAATAATCTGAAATGTCTTTTGTTTCTACCTACCCACCAGGAATTGTTTTAAAAAACGGCACTGTCATTCACCTGAATATGCAGTGGTGTTTAGTTCATGTCACTGGCCATATTGAAATTGGAATCAAACCACTTGAACAAACTCGGGTGTTATTATAGGCGGGAAC